CAGGTGCAGGGAGTCGTTGCTGCTCAGAATGAGTGGAGGCCGGTATGTTGCATTTTTCCTTAACACCATCCCTCAAGCTAATGGGAGGAACGACCATGAGCTTGGTACGTAGAACGAGATGTTTAGAGACATGAAGTGCCTTGGTGAAGAGATCCGCAGGCTGGTCTTCCGTTGCTATGTGATGAACGGCGATGTGTTTGGCTTGAATGCTGTCCCGCACAAAGTGATGGTCGATTTCTATATGTTTAGTGCGGGCATGGAAGATTGGGTTGGTGGCAATGGACATTGCGGAAATATTGTCACAATGGAGAGGTGTAGGCTGTAGGTGGATGTTAAAGTCGCTGCATAAGCGGCGAACCCAGATGATATCTGCAGCGGCTGCAGCAAGGGATCGATATTCAGCTTCCATGGAAGAGCGAGTGACAGTCGTTTGTTTCTTTACTGTCCAAGAGACAAGTGTCTGGCCGAGAAAAATACAATATCCAGTAGTAGATTTGCGGTCAATTGCGTCACCTGCCCAGTCGGAATCGGAGAAGGCGGTGAGAACAAGATCTGTTTTTGGAAGAAACAAATTGTAGTCTATAGTGCCTTGCAGGTAACGAAGAAGGCGTTTGAGCAGCTGGTAATGCAGTAGTAGAGGCTGATGCATATGTTGGCAAAGTTTGTTGACGGCAAACGCAATGTCGGGCCGGATGGTGGACAAGTACTGAAGAGAACCCACAAGCTGGCGGAACAGTGCTGGTTGGTGAAATGGTTGCTGTAGAGTAGGATCGGAGGGAAATTTGGTGGGTAAGGGAGTTTGAATGGGTTTACAATTTGTCATGGAGGCCGAAGAGAGCAGTTGTTGAATGTAAGTGGGTTGTGTGAGATGAAAGCCGTGAGGTGTGCGTTGAAAGTTAATGCCAAGAAAGCAAGACAGAGCACCTAAGTTGCGGGTTTGAAATTTGCTATGTAGATTGTTTATAAGAGATGAGATAAAGGAAGAGTCGTTACCTGTGATTAGTATATCATCAACATAAATTAGGATATAGATTTGAAGATTTGATTTGCAAAGTAATAGGAAGGAGGGATCGGCAGTGCTGATTTGAAATTGTTGTGTTAGTAAGTATGCGGTAAGAGTTGCAAACCAGAGACGAGGAGATTGTTTAAGACCGTATAAAGCCTTATGAAGACGACATACGTGATTTGGAAAAGTGGGATCTTGGAAGCCGGGAGGTTGAGACATGTATATGGTGTTGTCTAAAGTGCCATGAAGAAAGGCGTTAACGACATCAAGTTGAAGGACAGGCCAGTTATGATGAAGAGCGACGGTAAGAAAAATTCGAATGGTGGGAAATTTGACAACGGGGCTGAAAGTTTCATGATAATCAATGCCATACTCTTGCTGAAATCCTTGAGCGACTAATCGCGCTTTGTATCGTGCGATGGAGCCATCGGCTAAACGCTTGATTTTGTAAATCCACTTGCAGCCGATAATGGGGTGATTAGCAGGAGGAGGAACAAGAGACCAAGTTTTTTGAGCTTGAAGAGCATTGAATTCGGTAGACATAGCTTGTCGCCAATGAGAAGATTTGGAGGCCGTGGTGTAGGAAGTGGGAATGATTTCAGTATGGTGGCTCAGATTTAGAATTTGGCGTGGCTTGAGAGAGCCAGTTTGAAGCCTGGTTTGCATGTGATGTCGGGTTGGTATAGTGGAGATAGGAGGAACTGAAATGGGAGATGAGGAGGATGAGTTAGAATTTATGGGAGGTGTGGGTATTACAGGTGGTTGGTGGGTTGATTGATTGGAAGGTGTTGTGGTGGATACAGGAGAGGTAGTAGATGTTGTGCTGGACGAATTTGTGGTTGGGATGTTTGGTGGAAACGGTGGAGGAGAGGACGGAGATACAGAATTTGTTTGTGTGGGTGTAGATTATATTGATGGAAACAAGTTCTCATCAAACGTGACATCCCTTGATATAATAAGTTTGCCTGAAACAGGATTGTAACACTTGTAGGCTTTATATTGACTTGCATAGCCAATAAAAATACAGGGAACAGAGCGGGCAGCGAGTTTATGTTTAGCATAAGGGCGGAGCCAGGGATAACAACGGCAGCCAAAAATGCGTAAGTGAGAGTAGACAGGCCGAATATTGTAGAGGAGTTCATATGGAGATTTGTGGGGGTTGTTGGTAGAGGGTAACCGATTTATTAAGTATGAGGCTGTGTGTAAGGCTTCAGTCCAAAGGAAATGTGGAAGAAGAGCATCAAGTAGGAGAGTGCGAGCTGTTTCGAGCAAGTGACGATGCTTTCGTTCGGCTACACCATTCTGTTGTGGTGTATAGGGGCAGGAGAAGGTATGAGTGATGCCAGCAGTAGAAAAGAAGGTTTTTAGGGTAGTGTTGAGGAATTCGCCACCACCGTCAGACCGTATGGTGCGAACAAGTTTGTTAAGTTGTCTTTCAATTTGTTTAATAAATTGGATTAAGATTCTTGGGACATCTGACTTGTATTGTAAAGGAAAAAGCCAATGAAATCTCGTATAATCATCAACGATTAATAAATAAAAACGATAACCATCATAAGATAGAATAGGGGAAGGACCCCAAACATCTAGATGCAACAATTCTAAAGGAGCATTAGATACATGTAGTGATGAAGAAAACGGTTGCCTGTGACTTTTTGCAAGTTCACAGGGATTACAAGAAGAGCTAACAGAAAAACGATGTAACGGAGACAATTGTGTTGATAAGTGTTGCAAAATTCTGAAGTGAGGGTGTCCCAGTCGGCAATGCCAGACGTTGCCGATGGAGGACGATTGCATGGTAGTAACATTGGCTGTGACGGAAGATGTAGTGGGAATGACCGGAACAGGGTACAGGCCATTACGACAGGGACCGTGGAGTAGCGTTTGGTGGGTCTTCGAATCCTTTAAATGAAAACCATATTAGTCAAAAGTAATGGAACAGTGATTATCCGTGATGAGTTTGGAAATAGAAAGAAGACGGTGAGTTAGATTAGGAACATGTAGAAGCGGTTTGAGTAATAGCTTACGTGTGGGAGTAGGGAGTAAGCCATCACCTAGGTGTTGAATGGGAACAGAATTACCATTTCCAACCAGCACATGATCCTTGCCAGTGTAAGGCTGCTGAAACGGCAATAAGTCCGGCGAGAGGTGAGCAGTAGCACCACTGTCAAGGTACCAGGAGTTAGTGTCCGAAGTCGAGTTGTTAGCCAGGAGAGCAACGTAATTGGGGGGGGCAGGAGAAGTGTACTGAACGTTG